ACATTGCTGACTCATTTAACTCTTACTATAGTGACCTATATAATTTGAAGGATGATTCCTCTGTTCCCCAACCCACAGATTCTGGCATGTCCTCGTTTTTGGCTACTATAAAATTGCCAGCTCTCACCCAATCTCAGCTTGATAAAATAAATGCCCCATTTACCTTATCTGAACTGAAACATATCAGTAAATCTATCCCACACAATAAATCTCCTGGCCCTTATGGGTTTTCAAACGAATACTGTCAATCCTTCCACGATATCCTGGGTCCTTACTTGTTGAAGGTGTTCGACACTGCTGCTGCCGCTGTTACTTTTCCATCAGAAATGTTAAAGATGTTAATTGTAACCTTACATAAACCAGGCAAGCCACTGTATTCTCACTAAAACTTTCGCCCTATCTTGCTCTTAAATTGTGATCTTAAGATATACGCTAAATTGATAGCTCACCGTTTGGCTGATATAATCCCAACTTTTATTAATCTGGATCAGAGGGGTTTTACTAAAGGCCCAGAAGCCGCTGACACTACTAGAATGGTACTTAAAGGAGAACTATGAGATGAGTGATTTCCACTCACCTCATAGTTCTAGCCGACCTGTGACAATGAGACTGTCACAGGTCGGCTCAGTAGATCGGGAGGTGAGCGAACACATACCAGGTTCGCTCCCCTCTCGATCCTGTCACGGTTTTCTGCCATGACAGGGGGAGGGGCTGGATTCCCCTCTCCCTGCTCCGATCTGCCAGCGCTGACTGGTGGAACTGATGGGGGAGGGGGCGGGTACAGCTGGCTCTGCCTCTAGATAGGCAGAGCCAGCTGTCACTCACGCAGCTGGGCGGATCCCGTCATCTACGTCGGGATCCGCTCCGGCTGCAGCGTCTCAGTATACCACGAGCTGTACCTCGCGGTATACTGAGCTTAGGGTAACGGGAGGAAGCTGGTTTGTGTCCTCCCGTTACCCTAAGGAGAACTATGGGGAAAATCACTGACCCCATAGTTCTCCTTTAATATTATTCATCATGCATAGACCTCCTGGAACGCCTTCTCCGTTTCTAGCATTGGATGTGGAGAAGGCGTTTGCATGAGTTCACTGGACATACCTGCAACATGCCTTGGCTTAATATGGATTTGCGGGCCCTATCTTTTCTGCAATTATAGCTCTCTTCTCTTGCCCATCTTCCCAAGTTTTTACATCTGGCACTCTATCTCGACCATTTCCCATTACGAATGGGACCCGTCAGGGCTGCCCCCTTTCGCCCCCGATATTTAATTGCAGAGGGGATTAGGTTGAGCACCTTAATATCAGGCTTTACTATTGCACAACAACCCCATAACATCAACTTGTTTTCAGATGACGACCTTATGCTCACAAAGCTAGTGTCTTCTTTGGCTGAAGTCTCCCGTGCTATACATTCATTTGCTCATGTGTCCTATTACAAGGTGAATAATGCTAAATCCTAGATGTTGGACTTGGGACTATAGGTTGAGACCCTATAATCCCTAAAAGCCTAAACTTCATACCGCTGGTCTACTTCAGGAATTACTCTCACTAGCTCTCTTCCTGACCTATTCTTCCTCAATTTTTCCTCCCTTTTTAGACAAACTAAAACAGGAATGAATAAATTTGGGTTACCATACACTGTCGTGGTGCACAGGACTGGCCTCATTTAAAATTATAATTTTACCCCAAATCTTGTACCTCTTTTGCACGCTCCCTATTACTATTCCCCAGTGGTATTTTCAATCCCTCCAATCTTGCCTCAAAGATTTTATCTGGCAACATGGAAGGGCCCGAAGTTCCCACTCAATACTTATCAAACACAGATCTATGGGTGGCATGGGTTATATCGTTTTTAAAAACTACTATATGGCTGCTATATTAACGCACCTTAGAAGTTGTTTCCTATCTTCTACTGATAAACAGTGGCTTTATATTCAACATGCTTTTGTTCCTGGCAAAGATCTACGCAGCTACCTATTGTACCGATTGTGGGAATCTGTTCCCACAACAGATTTATCGCCCCCTATTCAGGCATCCGTCCGGGCCTGGCGAACATTAATCTCAACTAAGTTCTCCCATTCCCCTCTAAAACACGTTGCTATACGATTGTCCTCACTGGAACTTCTAATTCCTTTTCTTTCATTACAATCTTGGGAATACCGTGGCATCCAAACTTTACAGGACATTGTGGAAGGCCGCTCCATCAAACCATTTCCTGTGCTATCTACCCAATTCCATCTTCCTAGTAGAGAATACTATAAATATCTCCAAATAGCTCACCTCCTAATGTATAACAAATCACTGTTCATTAAACTCCCCATTAAAGTAATTTCCTACTATATGTCCTCTTCATCGCATTCCAAGGGAATATCACTCTTTTACTCTCTTCTTTAAGAGAAACTAAACTTTGTTAAAAACACTGCTATTTTGGCCTGGGAACGGGAGTCCCAAAGGATACTTACCTTTAAGGAGACTTACAGCGCCTCTAAGAGTGTGGACATGTGGGAACTGGCACAGAAAACTCTGCTTCGCTGGTATTTAACTCCCTAATGCTTGGCCAAAATGTCCCCAAACACTTCCTTGGGGTGCTGGAGGGGTTGTGGACACACGGGCACTTTGATCCACACTCAATGGTCTTACAACTCTCTTACTAGTTTTTGGAACAATATTTTCCAAATGATAGCGGCTGTTACTGACTAGTTCTATATCCCTACACCTAGTTTAGCTCTACTACATCTAGGAATTGATACTTATTGATATTGATACTTATTCTGTCCATCTTCGATTTATTGTGATACATATTCTTCTAGCAGCCAAACTGACAATAGCCAGGCATTAGAAGAGTTCGATAGCTGTCAACACCTCAGAAACTCTGCAAATATTACAACTCCACTGTGAATATGAGCGCCTACTAGCTTTACGCAATAACACACTGGCAAACTTCTTTAGAAAATGGAACTCTTGGTTTCTATGGTCTCAGCCTGCTCTACCTCCCCAATGACATCCTATGCTCTTTGTGATCGATGATATGAGATGCTATGCTCTTTGACCTTTCTTTTATATTGTAAATATGATTGTTTTGGCTTTCTTTATTTATTTGGTTATACCTTTTTTCTGGAATGGACCTAGTTTCTTGTTCTTTACTTTAACATACGAAAAATAATAATCAATAAAAACAATTGAAATAAAATAAAACATTTATCATTTTATTATGGTGTGCAATATGGTCTGTATTTTTTTTCTCATTGTGCGCTGATTTCATATGGCATTGTATATTTTAAAGAACAGATGTAGATGGACAGGAGAGTTACAACTAGCAGATCCCCACCTGGTCTCAATACAACAAAGGGGGAACAGCAATATCAGACCTTTTGTGAAGGTGTGAATTTAAGGTGTTAAGCATTCCAGTGGACGATCATGTGGTAGCAATCATTCGGTAGTGGAGTAATTTTGAATCATATGATTTCACAAATACACATTTGGATTGGAACACACATCATAAGTTGTATGGATGTGTATGTGCACTGTGAAACTGGACTAAATTTTTCTGTTTTGATGTAAATGGTAATTTGCTCATGGGTATTTGCCGTACGTTTTATAGATTGCATGTTCTCTCAAAAAAAGAAAAAAAAAATCAAGCACTGTGATGTATCGTAATAACCAACTGTATAGAAATATATAATATATTTAAGTATACAAATATCTAAAAAGACCGCTGATATTTTATTTCCCTTTTGAGATAGCAAAAGAGGTTGAGGACACAAAGTCCTCAGTCTGCTTCTCTGCAGCCCCAGCACTTACTGAACAGGAAACACTCAGTACAGAGGCTTCCTGTCCATTCACAATTTGAGCAGATATTATGTTTACAATCTTCCCAGTTATACATGGACAGGAAGTGATCTGTATTACATAGTTGTCAATTGAGGTTAGCCTATAGAAGAAAAAAAATAGAATAACCTCCATAAACAGAACCCTATGCCCATAGTTACCCACAGTTGTTGAGTGCTTCCGGTTTATTCATAACTGTGGAGATAGTAAATGTTTGCCATCTCCTCAGTTATGAATGAACACAGGGGTGATCAATACAGTGTTTGTACAGTAAAGTGAAGGAGCGGTAAATATGATACATATTTACCAAACCTCTGTTCATCTTCCTGAATCTGCCCCTCGTCTGTCACTGTATCCTCTCCACCTGTAGCTCAATCCTATCTGCTGTCAGCATGCTCCGCTCTTTGTCCCTTCTGATCCCCACTGTATCTGCCAATGCATGCAGAGGAGACCATGAGCTTATAGCAGAAGAGTGTGAATGCCACCGAAGTAAGGCATACTGACTTGGCCAGCTGGAAACATTTGTTTTATGTCTGAGAAAGGGTTAACAGGTGTTCCTTAGAAACGCTTCACTGAGTTTACTGATTTTTAACTTAGAATACTTGAAGTTCTTTTACTAACATGCAAAAAAAACCCCAACTGACTGGGAATCCTTAAAAGAGAACTATGGGGTGAGTGAATTACACTCATCCCCATAGTTGGAGCCAACGCATGACATTGAAACTGTCACACATCGGTTCTATTGATCGGGAAGTGAGCAAAAACATACCACCGCTCGCTCACTTCCCGATCATCTCCCTGTAGAGAGCGGAGACTGTCACCGCTCCATGCAGGGATTCCCCCTTCTCCGATCCTCCAGCGCTGACTGGTGGAACAGACGGGGGAGCCCGCTGTCAATCATCAAGCGGGGTGGATCTCGACAGTATATTACGTTTTGGGTCACAGGAGGATGTTAGTATATGTCCCCCCGTGGCCCTAAAGAGAACTATGGCAAAAAGAGGATACTCCATAGTTCTCAAGTCAAACAAGTATAAATTGCATGGCTTACTTCTTGATAAGAATAGGGAACATAATTTGATATAGAACTTTATGTTATAAGAACTAACAAAGCCAGTCCTGATAATAAATAAAACACCCTGTTTATCAGTGTTGTCTTTCTTTTTTTGTTTGCAGGAATAAAGCCCTCTAAACTTGAGAAAATCCAGCTCTGTTTGCAGCCAGCAAAAGAGGACCGTACTTACAACCATGTCTTAGTGGAAAGACTTATCAGAATAATGAGCAATGCAGCAAATCCAGGTACAGGACACTGCTTAGTGCAACCTTCCGCTGAAAACATTTAGAGGGTTTTTCACTAAGCTGACAAAGGCAGCCGAGTGATTAACACCGAGCCAAAGTGAACTGAGCTGAACAGCGTTCTGCTATTCGCTTCGGCTTCGTAGGGCTGATTTCACCTGTACATCGGCTACAATCAGCCGTACATCGCTGGCTTTGGTGAGCCGCACATGCTGAGCATGTGCGGCAGGGCAGAAATGCTGAGCCGAAACTCCGGCAGTTCATTCGCTGGCAGTGAGTGAATAGCCGAATGCCGAAAGTCATACCAGGCCCTTTAGATCTGGTAGAAATTTTAAGGAGGAACCCCACTCCCAAAAATGGGGGAAAAACAAAGGGTGGGGGGCGAGCGAGTGCCCCCCTCCCTGCCATACTAGACCCCATGCCCCCGGCACTGGGAGGGTGCTTTTCCAGGGTCACCCTTGGAAAAACGCCTCGTCCCCGTGCCTATGGGGACAATGGCCTCTTCCCCACAAGCCCTGTGGCGTTGGTTGTGGGGGTCTGCGAGCAGGGGACTTATTTGCATCGGGTACCCCTTTAATAAACCCAGGTGCGCCCCCCTTTGTGAATGAGTAAGGGGTACTTGTACCTCAACCATTCACTAAAGGGTTAAATAAAAAGACCAAACTTTAATTAAAACAATCCTTTAATTGAAATAAAAACACAACAAAGGATTTTTGACAAGTCCTTCATTAAAAAAACCCCCCAAAAATGGCAGACCGTTCTCCCTGCTTCAGCCTTCACTACGGCTCAGTAGAGCCAAAGCATATGCGTTTGGCTCGGCTGTTATACAGGCTATTGTGAATAGCCCGTACAGCAGCCCTGTACCAAAGGACTCCGACAGCTGAAGTGAGCAGAATCAGCCGAGGCTATGGCTGGATCTTTCGGTTCTTTAATAAATAACCCTCATAGTTCTTTCCCTATAGGCCTTGTCTGTACAAGTGTCAGAGTGGGTACTTTTTATGCACTCATGCAGGAAAGATAACGTTACCTAGTATACCAGAATACTTGTATCCATAACCCATAAACCTTTAACCCTTTTGCTGCCAGGTCATGCTCTCCACTTTTTTTTTTAAATAAATTCCGATTTTATTAAACAATTTTTAAAATATAACATACAAAGATAGAAAATGTCAACACAACAATGACACAGTATTGCAAAATGTCTCTTATCTGGGTCCAAAAATGTTCCAACCGTGGGCAGGACCAAAACACGTGGAGCATGTCAGCCGGAGAGGAGCCACAGCGCCAGCAGGAGTCCGAAGCATCAGGGAAGATTCAGTGAAGCCTGTGAGGGGTTCTATACCACCTAGTCAGTATTTTATAACCTATCTCCTGGTACCTGTTACTGATGGAGGACTTCAGAGATTACTGGAGAATCCGAAATCGCTGAACGGGGGAGAATTGAGCCCTGAGGTCCTGTTCCCACCCCTCAAGGAAGGGCAAGGACTGGTCGAGGTCTGGGAGGAGCAATAGTTGATAATTAAATGAAAGAGTTTTTGTCAGTGGACCTGTTCCGTTACATTCACATTCAAATATGGACAGCAGTCTAGCGAGCATATTTGGCGGTAGAAGGGAGGACAGGAAATGTGATAGTTAACTTATTCTCCAGAATCCCAACCCCGCCAAGTTGGAATCAGACGAGAGGTCCGAGTGAGAGGGCCAGGCCGAGACGTGGAGAAAATGTAGAGCCCTACATTTATCTCACGCTCCCAGACAAGTAAACACGGGGTCCTGGATGCCAGGCAGGAAGTCAGGGGTCCCGATGATCGGGCGTAAGTGGGAAGGGGAGACAGATCCCCCTAGACTCAAAGGTTACACATGCGGCTCTCCACGTAGGGCCGATAGTGGGGTGTGCCAAGAGGAGTCCCGTGATCGAGTGAGCGCACCATGGGAGGGTACATAATGGGATAAAAGAAAATGATTGTTCCAATGAGACCCATGCCTTGAGTGTCTACGCCAGTCCAATATGCGTGATAGGTGGACTGCAAGATAGTAAAAGTAGACATCCGGGAGGGCTAGGCCTCCCTCCCGTTTGGGTCGTCTTAAGATAGAATGTTTAATCCTAACAGGCTTTTGCGACCAGATAAATTTAGTGATGACTGCTTGGACCAAGGCCCAGAAGGCCCGCAGGATAAAAATATGAAGATTCTGCAATGGATACAAGAGGCGCCGAAGTTTGTTCTGCTTGATTACATTGCAGCGGCAAGTCCAAGAGAATGGCAGATGGGACCAGCATTGGAGGTCTGACTTAGGTTTTTGGAGTAAGGGGGGGAAATTAAGGGGGAACACCTCCGATAGGATGCGAGGTAAGAGAACCCCAAGGTATTTGATCGACGTAGGGGACCATCAAAACGAAAAATTATATTATAACCTAGTCATGACAGCCCCCGGTAAATTAAGAGCTTCTGACATCTGGCCGTTAATGTGGAAGTTAGGAAGCTCACCAAATGGCCTCAAAGCGGAAAAAAAGATTGGGGACGGAAATGTCGGGAGAGGAAAGAAAAAATAGGTTTGTCCGTATAGGTGGCTACCTTGTGATGGCCATCCTTGGTCACGTAGCCCTGGATGTCAGGGTGGGATCTGCATAGGAGGGGTTCCAGGGTCAATATAAATATGAGGGGCAAAAGGGGACATCCCTGTCTAGTCCCATTAGAGATCTGAAAGGGGTCAGATAGGATTCCGTTGACACGCACCCTCGCCTACTGAACCGAATAGAGAGATGTTATCCACGATAGCATGTGAGGTCCCAGCCCAATATGCTTCAAGGTAAGGCACATAAAAGACCAATTGACCCTGTTGAATGCCTTCTCTACATCCGTGGAGAGAAGAAAACCTGACATGTTCTCTGATTGCGCTGCATGGATCAGACTAAGTGCCCTTCTGGTGTTGTCTCGCGCCTCTCGGTGGGGGACAAATCCTGATTGGTCTGGATGAATCAATGACGATACATATGGAATTAGGCGGAGTGACAATATTTTAGCAAACAACTTGGTGTCTACGTTAAGGAGCGAGATGGGGCGATAACTGGGGCACAACATGGGATTTTTATCAGATTTCGGAAGGGCTGTTATGTCGGCAGTGAGGGAATCACGAGGTAGCCCAGCCCCCAATATGACTGAGTTTAAAGCAGACAGCAAATATGGATTAAGGATGTGGAATAATTTTTTTGTAGTAAGAAAGAGAGAAGCCATCTGGGCCTGGGGCTTTTCCTGTTTGGGTCCCTTTGATGGCAGTTTCCAGTTCACAGAGTGTCAGGGGTTCCTCAAGGACATTGGATATTTCCTCTGGCAGTTGAGGGAGGCCACAATCGATTAAGTATTGGCGGATGCGTTGCTGGCGGAGGGACAAGGCCGGGACTGATGTTGAATTGGGAAGGTTGTAAAGAGTCAAATAGTAGTAGTCTTGGAACACTGCAGCGATATCTTCTGATAGATGTAAAGAGGAACCCTCTTATAAAGGCTTTGTGGGCCTCCCACACAATGTATGGGGAGCACGCAGAGGGGCTATTCACGTCAAAATAAGAACGTAAATCTCGCTCAACCTCCAGAGAGCGAGATGCTCCCTATGTCAGAGTGGGTAACGTAAGTTGGACAATTATGATGGACTAAAAAAAAAAAGTTGATGCGAGTGTAAGTACTGTGGGTGTGGGAATAGAAAGAGTGGTCTCGAGCGTTAGGATGATGAATCCAACAGACGTCTACCAGTTGGAATAAATGGAGGCTCTTCTTCATATGTTTTAACGCTGCATAAGAGAGGTAAGTAGAGGACCTCGATGAATCCACGAGCGGGTCCAAGACCAAGTTGAAGTCTCCGCCCACAATCAAATGGCCCTCCCTAAAGTCCTCCACCAGTTCAAGTATACGATCCAGGAAGGTAATCTGGCCTATGTTGGGCATATAGACATTGACCAGGGTGACTTTTTGAGCCCCAATCTTCCCCTTGACCATAAGTAGCCTGCCCTCCTCTCCGGCATACGCATCCAACAGAGTCCACGGAACTGACTGAGAAAGGATGATGCAAACCCCATGTGACTTCTTGTCCGACGAGTAACTGATACGCTGTAGGATAACGATGATCTTGGAGCACAGGGGCTCTAGAGTTCGGTAAGTGTGTTTCCTGAAGAAACCCTATCTGGGCCCATTGCCGGTGTAGCTCAGTTAAAATCATGCTACGCTTCTCTGGAACATTCAGACCCTTAAAGTGACATAGTCAAAAATGTTTTTCCCTCCCCCAATGTTAATGTCAGCACTTACCTTAAATGATGTTTCTTAATCCGATCTTCTTTCTTGTCCTTTTCATCTGTCCCTCCAGCGCTGCGGCGGGTCTCCGATCCAATGCTGACTCCTCTGGGCTTGCTGGCACTTCCTGTCCCACAGTGTCTGCATGCGGGTGCACGCATCCATAGACTTACCTTGTGTCTCTCCTCGCGTCCCGGCCGAAAATGTGATCTGAGCATGCGCCCGCCCCAAGATGCTTTGCGGCCGCCCAAGATTTTTCACGTTTTCGGACGGGAGCGCACGGGGAAGACACGGGTAAGTATTAACCCTTTTTGCATATATCTACTGATTGCTAGCAGTAGATATATGCAAAACTCCGAGAAAGACTCAGACAAGAGAGAGGATACAGCAAAAAGAGGAAAGTAACAATGAACAACTAAGGAGGCAGCCTAATACTTCTAAATCACTGTCCAAGGGGAATTCCCAAGGAAAGTGAGCCTATTGGGGGGATTGACCAAATCAGAAGTCACAGAAACGCAAATAGGCTCCGTGACCGAGGTCCCAGGGATCTGTGAGCCCAGTGAATTTCAATAGGGATCTCTGGGGGCTGGTCGAGGTAAATATTAAAAATACCTTGAACTGTGGTCTTCAGGTCGAGAGTGGTCTGGATTCCGGGATACCTTTAATACGGACGTTATTCTTCTTTCCCCGGTTGTCCTGATCATCCACATCTATCATCATGGCAGC